CGTAAGAAAAAGGAATTTGATATGTTGTATTAATATGGGGTGTATAACACAAAGTAACCTAAGTGCAGTGTGACTATTTTTTGGCGATTTTTTTTTTTTTGACTACTTAGAGGGCCCTTCAAGTATTACGTAACGCACTGTGGGAAAGGGAGGGTTTGAGCCAGCGTTACGGTGCGTTACAAGGAGGGAGAGGGGTCAATACCAGCGTTACGGATTCAAAAGGGGGGTGTAGGGCTGCGTTACGGGTGCGTTACAAGGGGTAGGGGGAGTCAAAAAATTGGAAAAAGTGCGTTACGTAATGCTTGACTTGATAATTTTCTTTGGAAAGAAATAAAATGTGAGCTGAAGTGGAGCAAAGTTCAATGTATTTAGTCCAATTCTAGTTAACGTCACCCATTTTACAAGTAGACTACAGTTCAACGTACGGAGCGGAGATCGATACCATTTGTACTTCGGCGACTAAATTCTGCAGATTTAATTTGGTGGAACATTAATTAACGCTTCGCTTGCGGTAATTACGTATCTCTCGCGCCCATCTCCGGAATACGGCTAAATACTCCAATTTCTTAGAGCCCCCTCCTAATGTCCAAATTAAATTATTTTGGCGTTGGTCCAATGAATAATATCCTAATTCGCGGGTTTAGCTGTAATTGCATAACGTGCGGTCTCCATCGCTGGGGACCCCGGGTCATTTCTGCCGTGCTGTGGAAAAACGCCGTATGAACATTCGAGAATTGTCAAATTTCCTTCGATAAATTGTTTAATTTTGAGGAAAGTTGTGAATATTTTTCCTTTAAATTTTCCGAACCCTTAGGTGAAATAGCGAACAAAATTATCTGAAAAATTGGGAGGAAAATATTCATAAGTTTACCAGTAAATTCGCGTTTTATCTAAGGAAATTTGGCAACGCCTGAAGGTTCATACGGCGTTTTTCCTTGGCACGGTAGATTTGCTCTCACAAGCTGCGATACCATTGCTGGCGTTGAATAACCGGGATATTACACTGACAAAATCTCAGAGTGAAACCGCACTGCATTTCGCGTCGGATACTGTATGTCTACAGTATGTCAACAGCTGAGTCTACCCTTCCTGCGGGGTAGACTTCGCTCTTATGGAGTCGATTCTACTCCTCACTCGTGTCCCTCAGCGGGATGATGATTGACATTGATAGACAAAGCTATAGACAAAGCAGACATAGAGAACGTGGAGCGATACCATTGGTAGAAACGGTTGGTTGTTATAGAGTAAGGGGAAAAATGATGGACTAACTACAGGGTTTCTCGTGGGTTACCGTTAGTTTGTCTATTACTTACTTCCGTTGTCCATTGCAACCACCCGCTTCCACCAATATTGCATCGCTTTATTTTCAGTTTTTCCGCTTTTGTCTATAGCTTTGTCTATCCATTTCAATAATCAGCCCTCAGGTATATAGGCTGTGGAGTGAAATGAAAGTCCACTGTAAGATTTTTAACATTGTATACAAAATGACCCTCGCCAAAGTGTTCACGTGGATAGAGATCGTAATGCCGAAAACTCGAGATTGAGATATTAATATACCACTGTTTTGATAAGTGTCTTTACGATTATTTTCGTATAGGAAACTACGGCAGACAAACCGGGATTATGTCGGTTGGAATTTTGGAGCTCAAAAAACGTAGATCTGAAGAAAAGAAGGATGTTCAGGGTGATATTTTATGTTAGGGGCTTAAAACTGGCGGATTTTTGAGACTTTCGAAATTGTACGAGTGATATTCGTGCAAAAAGTTGAAGGTAGCTCTTTCCTTTTAAAACAATTTTTCTAAATTCTTATTTTGCTGCAATGTGTCAAATTAGCTATCGAGGTTTTGTATAAATAATCTTTGCCATCCACGGTCAGGGTCATTTATGTCTGAGTGTGGGAACTTGGGATTTAAATTGAGAGGTCAAGATCATCGGAAGTTAACGAATTTTTTTCGCAAGAATGAGATCATAATCCATTAAAAGTTAGTTCGAACGAACAAATGTTACCCAAAAAATTCTAATACTAAAAATGTCCGATATTTTTCATTTGACTCCCACCGTTCGTGAAGTTGCCACTCACTTTTCTTGAAGTTGCCACTCACCTTTTCGTGAAATTTCCACCAGGAACATATCACCACATAGAAGCAATGTTAGTTGACATGACTCCAGAGAATTATGATCTTAACTATGCTTTTATCACTGATGTTTGTTGAAAACATTGCTGCCGATTTTTTTTTTTTGCTCTCCTGTTAAATTTTAAAAAATGCAAGGGCATTCTTTACTACATTATTGATGCAATCATTTTACTGCATCCTCTAAGTGCAAAAGACCAATCACTTTGAGATAGGCTGATTTTTATCCAAAATTTGGCAAAGCTGGCCGAGAAAAGGTCTCAGCTTTGGCTGCTGGCGTGCGGAGTTGCATTGGTGTGCGTTGAGGGGGAGGGGGGGGGTTGCTCTGCAGTGGCTCTAGGACCTATGCCCTCGCAATCGCCACACCTGTTCAGCGTTGAATGCAATTATTCACGGACGTCAAAGTGACGTCACCAGCACGGCTAAATTTACCCGAACAAATTGAATCATGGACATGTTTGCAGGCGCGTTCCTCCACCTGGCAAACGCTCTTCACAACTTCGAATTCCTCTGTCATACAGACACAAGAATCGTGATAGAAGTGACGCTAGTGGAAGGCTGCAAACATATATGGGTCGAAAAGCATGGTCAAAACAAAAATCATCTGAAATGCTTCGGAAAAAAGTACATTATTCTATCTTGGACTGTCAATAAAAAAAATTCTGTTCCCACATTGAAGATAACTTGAGTCGATCGACTCATAGATCGAATCAAATCCGTCAATTTAAAGAGAAATTAAGAAATTTGAATTAAACTGAAGTCACTTTAGAGCAAAGTAAGAATTGAGGAAAGAGTGAGGAATTTAAAAGAAAAAATTATTTTTAGACAGTGTTTATTTATCAAATTGAAGAACAATTTGTATTTAAATCAACTTTTTCTCTCAAAGTTCTGAAGAAATCGTATTTATTTTTTAAACACATGCAAACACGTAAGATCTTTAAAAGTAGACAGTCTATCCGAGAATTTGACAAAACACCTGATCATACGATAAACCGCCAATACATGTAAGTAAATCAGCGGGCTTAGAAGCCGTGATCGAATAAATTTGGGACTTGATTTTAAAAGAAAGTGCACTCTATAATTAAGTAAAATTAAAGCATTCGCAATATGGTAATATTTGTTGGCCTGCAGCCAGAACGGTTTAATTGGCTAGTTGCAAGGGGCAATGAAAAATTGAAGTGCTTTTTCAGTGTCAAATAGAAATTTTCCTTTATATCCCGAGGATGCACGAATGAGCAATTCAATCCACAAATGCTCATTTACTTTATGTATTTCTCTTCTAATGGACGAATAAGAACATTTCGAGTCACAGAGATTAAGATTTTGATTTTTTAACCGAGGGTTGTGAAAATGAATTTGGTGCGGCATTGACGGATCCAGCAAGTTAGCAAACATTTTTTTTTTCTCCGTTTAAACCTATATGGAAATTTATCGATTCTTCGAGGGGTCATATACTCCGACAAGAATCGATTATTTAACATGGGTTTAAACGGGGGGAATTTGGTGTTGCCAAATTGCTGGATTCGCCTCTTTTTGCAGAGCCACGAGGCGCATTAGATTTTTTTTCAATCGGTACTGTTTTACGCATTCTGAATTATTATAAAATAGGTAGCTTGACATATTTCCTTTTCATGCACTTCATTTCCCGAATAAACAGAATTTTTGCCGCACCGCTGTTTAAAGGAGACCTGTCGAAGCATTTCAGCAAGAAAAACGCTTGGTGATTGTCTCGACCTTTTCAGAGTAATGACCGTTTGAGACTAGTGGCTCCAAAAACGGAATTCTGAGGATCCATCATGTTCGGGTCTGAAAGTCTCATGATTAAAATGCAACAATGCATCCGCAACTGACAGAAAAATGATCAAACTGCTACCATGATTAAGCTGGTAATGATTAATAATAATATTTGGTTAATATTTTTATGGATTCTAATAAGTGTTTTATGTCGGAAAGTGAAATGATGGTTGTTTAATCTTTTTTCAACGTGAATAGTTCGCTTGAAAGATTTGCCATCATGTACTCATTTTTTATCGCGTTCATGGATCAAATAAACCCGCTCCTCGCCCGTCATTTCTAACTTAAATCAGTTTCTGCCAGGTACGAAACATTTACAAATTACACCAACAGTTTCCATTCAGAATCTCGTCCGATGGAAAGACAATATTTCATGAATGTTAGACGTGCGATTGAAAGATTCTCCGAGTCAGTATCAAAAGCCAATGATTTTTGATACAGATATTTTAACTCCGATGTGGGCAGTGAAGTATCTCTCGAAACTGAAGGCGTTTTGAACTGGTAACAACTAACAGTTGGTCGTAGCTCACAACGCATAAGTTCTTCCTCAATTGTAGATCAAATACTGTTTTTGCAAATTTTCTTCAACCTGCATTAACTGTAAAAATCCTATCAACATCGTTGTTACACGGGCAAAAATAAGTCAGGGGTTATCCCCTAAAATTAGGGTGCTACCCCATTTTGTTGGACGATACGGGCATTTCCAATTCATTGCGAAAGCACCGCAAAATTTAGGTCAGTAACCTAATTTATTGGAGTACTACCACACTCCTAAGCTCCCTAATCTGGTCCGAGTCTGAACCCATATCTCCTTTTTTCCGTGAATGAGTGTTGAACGGCATGTGAACAAATATTTTTCGTCGTACGCCTTATAGGCAGATGTATCAGAGATAAACGTGTTATTCCTGCCAGCTTTAGCGTGTAACCACGTATTCATGCTTGTGTCAAACTCCTCCTGAGGTTAGCTGTTGCCTATTCTTCATTGTCCAACACCTCTGCCTTATTGTAACTCATATGCTCATTGTATTTTTAACCCATAACTTTCGTTAACTATTGTTTTGTTTCTTGTTCCAGATCGAAAGAGAAAAAGCAGACTTAAGTGTACAAGTACTTTCATTGACTGAGAGGTTAGAAGAAGCAGAAGGTGGAGCTGAAAGTCAAGTAGGTATTTATTTTTATTCACCTTATAACTTACTTTACACTCATCTTGCTTTTTTTGTGTCTGATTCATTGGCGGTTTTGAAATACTGTAGTCGCGCGGTTAGCTGCTATAAATCACTGAATTGATAATTATTGTTACGTCAATGCGAGTATTTTTGCCTACCCACACGAATGAAGGTGAAATAGACACCGTGCAGATAAGCTGATCTATTGTGAGCATAATTTGCTCCCTTGTGCTGTGTATGCAACCGGCACATCCAGCGATTGTGGCTAATCGCGTTCTGGCGTTGAACGCAATGTTGCGTTTTCATTTCGTCCTTCACTGGAAAAAAAAACACATTGATCTAGAGTCCAGACTCTTAAAAACATCGACAAGAAAAAGCACTCTTGATTCAATCAGAATCTAGCTTAAATTATGAACCAAGCCTCTTAATTTAAGCGGATTTCGTTTTGATTCAAGCAAAAATCCAATTAAATCAAGAGTATTTTTTCTTGTCAATGTTTTCAAGAGTCTGGCCTCTAGATCCAATGTGTTTTTTTTCCAGTGTTCGTTCACGTGTGGCGAAAGATACACTGTTCTATTCCCTCTTTTTCCAAGAGATCACAATTTTTCTGTTCTCTCAAGAACAACACATGTGAAACGCGTGTCACGAAATTTGTGGATAACATTCTTTACCTCAATGAAGAATGAGTTTTAAGATAATATTATGTGTCAAAGATGCCAAAAGTAAGACATTGATCTGTTTCATTTTCCCTATCATAGCTTGATTAGTAAAGAATAATTACGCTGTAAAGCGAGAAACTGCCTGTAATGTAGTTTGCCATTTTTAATTTTTCTATCTCATTAAAAGGAGTTCAATCACGGTAAATTTAAGAATATTTCAATTATTTCTAGACAGAATGACATTTTAGAATTGTACTTTTAATTTAAATTAATTTCCACGAAATCTTATCAAAGTCGAAGATCATTTGTTTTAATTTGACCAATTGAAGAGTCCAAAATAAGAAGTATTCTTACGTATCTGTGATATGAAGGAACTGGATAAAAGTTGAGAAATATTAATGGTCCTGGTGTGAAAATGTTTAAACAAGTGATTGAAACTTGAAACTTGAACTTGAAACTTGGCAATTAACTCTCAATATCCCATCCACTTTATTCTTTACTTCAAACCAGTTCGATTAGATACTATCATTTTCTCAATTTATCTTAAAGTGTCTACATACACGTGCATTTGGTAGATTTATAAACCAATTGCGAGGCGTGAATGATCGATTATCGATATTCCCCCAATTGAAGGTGTGGTAAAAAATCGATTATTAAGGCGTTCGTTGCGAACACCCCGTTTATCGATCCTTTTCCATAGGTTCAAATGGCAGATCAATCGATATATCGCAAAGCACGCCACGCCACTGCTATTAACCATATGGAGTGGTTTAAATTTCAGATATACAGAATCATCAGACATCATATCATCATTTTGAAAGTCCATCACGAGGCTCATAAAGGTTTTGAATTATGATATTTACGATCCGTGAAAGATTTCTATGAGTGCGAAAAATTCTGCACTCAAAAAACATATGGATGAAAACATAGTCTAAAGTTCTCGAAGAGAGAAATTCAAGCCGCAGTGTTATCTCTTTACAATTTAATATAACGCGTGGGTGAGATAGTGGATCGGCCTACTGCCAAAACGGAGTCCGATTTTATTTCCCGCCGAGACGCGTCTAAGTTTTCAGAAAGCGATTTGCTTGACGTTGTGTTACGGCCAGTTTCGACAGGCGAAGACATAAATTTCAAGTCCACCCGACATCCAACAAGGCTCTGATATAAAAACAAGCCTGTCACAGTGTGCCTAGTCCCATTATCGCAAACCCTCGCTCTCTTTTTGAGACAAATATTTTTGCCTCGACGCGGTTTGGATGAGTGATTTTAAAATAAATTGTCTTGTCCAAAGGCAAAAATTAGGGTACCTTCGTATTGAATTTTCCACAGAAAAAAAGTTAGGACTTACAGTCCCTCCGGGCTCAGAAACCGAAAGTTTCTGGTGCTGGCGACGTAGCTTCCACTGCTCCTGGTTCAATGACTATTGAGCAACGGGTGCTTACACCTGGAACTCTCGGTCTCTGAGCGGACGGTATGTCTATACATATGTTCTGTGAGTATGGATTTCACAGCCGGAGTTTTTTGGGGGTTTTTTCCAGTATAAAACAGATAGAGTAAAGACAATATATTTCATAGACTCCAAATCAAGAGGTCTAATCAATTGAGGCATAAGTTAAGTTCGCAAATCAATGCAATTTTTGCGTAATGATGATTGATGAATGAATTTGTGACTAGTTGCACATGCTAGAAGTGTAAAGGCACCAGCCAGCGATATACTTAATCCAATCACACTAATGCTGACTATGAGGGCACCAGCTAGAGGTCTGGTTGATTTAACCACTCTTTTAGCTGACTTGACCATATTCCTGGCTTGTGCAACTATTCTAATGCCTGGCGCCAAAATCAGCTAGAAGCATAGTTGGGATTGTGATAATTTTTTTCTTCGGTGAGGTACGACAAAGAGGTTAACTTTTAAAGCCGACATATCGATGACCAAAATGCGAGATAACGTATTTCCGTTTGCAACTTTGTAGATTTCCACTCATACCTCATTTTTCCTTGGAAAACTAGTAATTTAACTTGTAACTTTGTCTATGTAATTTTTTGAAAACTTCTCTGTCAGTAGAATATTCTGTATTTTCAATCTAAAAAGTCGTCGTGTTCACCTCTTCGAAAAACTCTGGGGAAAAAAAACACATTGGATCTAGAGTCCAGACTCTCGAAAACATTGACAAGAAAAAATACTCTTGATTCAATCGGATTTTTGCTTGAATCAAAACGAAATCCGCTTAAATTAAGAGGCTTAGTTCTTGATTTAAGCTAGATTCTGTTTGAATCAAGAGTACTTTTTCTTGTCGATTTTTTTAAGAGTCTGGACTCTAGAGCCAATGTGTTTTTTTCCAGTGAATTAAACTAGAAGCGGAGATTTTGAGACACCGCAATGGAAATACGTGGTTTCGCACCTTAGCCATTGATATAATGTTCCAGTCCGTCAGTTTGTACGGGGGATCTCCGTCCAGCACTTACTCCATGAGTGGTTTTCTGTTTGCAGTTTGAAATTAACAAGAAACGAGATACAGAACTCGCCAAACTACGAAAGCTATTGGAAGATGTACATTTGGAATCGGAAGAAACGGCACATTTGCTGAGGAAAAAGCACCAAGAAGTCGTCGTCGACTTCCAGGAACAACTCGACCAGCTCGCAAAAGCTAAAGCCAGGCAAGTACAATCTTTTCGACTCAATCTGCAGGGTGTGCGGAATCTACTTTCCAAGTAGCACACATTACAATGAATGGCAACCATTCAGTACAAATTATTGCTACTGCATCGGAATATTGTGCACCTTGTCCATCTTTTATTGTAGGGGCACATCTTATTCAAAGTAATTGCAATAAAATGTGTTAAATGTTTTTTTTTTTTTTTTTTTTTTTTTTTTTTTTTTTTTTTTTTT